CCGGAAAACTCAAAAGGAAGACATCCCTGGGCATTCCTCCCATTTAGCGGTGGGCTTCGTAGTTGTCCAGGTAATTTGTTGCCGCTATCTATCCTAAAATCATCAATTATCAAATGAATTATTTCGTTCTAGGATCAAAATATGGTATGATCTGCATCAAAATCATCATTGCTCAGTTGGTTCGGCATTATCAACTGGAAACAACTCTCAAATACGAAACTCTCAACATTCATGCCCACATATCCACTCGCTCCATTGACGGATACCCCATAAGTTTGAAGAAGATCAATTAATCCAATTAATTGAAAAAATACGTCATTGAAATTACACTTTCTCATTTTCCTGCAGTGTTAAACTGTAATATATTCAAACAATAAATTAGACTTATTTACTATAATTTTTTATTAGCCGTTGAATATATTCGAATTCTTCAAATGGTCCATTACTCTTCCTCCAATTAGTTAGACTCAACACAATTATTATATAAGACTGAAAAAATCTATCGACACCTCAGCTATTTTAAATAATTGATGGTGTCATTGCATGTCATTGGAGCCTCTGAATTACTAAGAATTACGGAGAATTACTGATCAATGAATATTCATATTGCTGCAATTATAAGGTATAGAAAAACATGAATAATATCGTATCCATTCAATTGGAATTTCATGATGCTGACCTGAATCCGTACTCATTCCACTTTTTTTCAAATTTTGTCGTCTACTTTTCAATATTCAAATCAACTCCCACCACTCCCCTATCCCCTCTCCTACAGCACTTTCTGACACACGTGTGTGCGCAATCGGTAACCGTCAACCCGTCGTCCGCAGTTATTAAACAATTGTTAATTGTCCGAAGAAAGGATGAATCTGCGGGAGAGATTTACAAAAAAGCACACGGAATTTCCAAATGATGTTGAGAAAAAAAAATCACGCTGGACTGACGAGGATAAAGAGAAATTGCTGAAGGCCTTGCAGAAGTATGGTTATAAGGACATTGATAAAATTTGTGGTGAACTGCCGAATAAAACGAAGGGATCTGTCAGAACATTAATTAATAGGCTTAATAAAGAGGCTCAAGAGTCAACACGATTGAATGAGAGTCATGCTGATTATTGGCTGCGATCTGGAAAAATTGAAGACTCTGATTTACCCATTTCTCAAGCTCTCAAATTCATCGCTATGTTTGAAAAGCACCCTCCGCCGCAGGAGTGCGCAGGCTGTGATTTTAGGTATAAAAATCTTTTTATTACTTTATCCAACTTCCTTCATTATTATAAATCTTTGTCGAGAGACAGCCGTCACAATTGTTTTTTCTTTGAATTTTTAGAATGGCTCCAGTGGTTTAAAATCAGTAATCACATATATTATTACCATTGATAGATTATTAAAATTTGATAATTGTCTCACTAGGGCATTTATATGAATTTATCAGAGAATTAGGGAAACATT